TAATTTCACAGAATGATTCACATTCATGCTCACCACTTCCACTTATTTTCCAGACTTCATATAACACATGTAGCATTTTTAAAACATCACCTTCTGTAGACTTTCACCTGTGCTCACTATTCTGCCAAAATATTTTTATTATCTTTCATCATAGCTAGCAGAACAATCGAAGCTGACAGCAAAGAGTTCAAACTCCAGCTTCTGACAGCAAACCTCATTTTACCAGCTGATAATTCTTGTTCACCGTCATAGTTAAACTTGAAGTTTTGCACAAACAGCTGTACACAGATGAACTGACTCTTCTGCATTTTGCCCATCCTACATACTGATACAATCTAAAAAAAAAAGACAACTTTGAAGAAAATCTGTTCAGCAATTTTGAAGAAATAAGCTTTACATTACCAGAACACAGTTTCAAGTAATTGTTGTGGTTTGCTAATAAATATGCCTCTTGTCTTTTCCCAATTCTGCCTGACTTTGTAGAGATATACTTTCTATATCTCTCCAGAGAGACAGAAGAAGAAAAGAGAAGCAAGTAATTCTCAAAGCATTTCTCTTAAATATTACTGTGAACATGTGAACAAACATTGCAAGCAGCATTTGCTCCATTCACTACACAGGTCCTCTCTTCCCAGTCTTACCCTTGTCCAGAAGAAAAACTAGATAAACATATCATGTGTTTCATCCAGTAGTAGACCAGAATTAACATTCCAAGACCAGTTTTGAGCTGGTTCCTCTAAACAATTTAATGACAAAAAAGGAAGTTTGTGTTAGAATTGTGAGTTTCTAGATGATAGGTTAAGAGGGGTTATGAATGTTCCACTGATTACTTGAAAATGCTTGAAAAGATATCAACAGGTGAGTGTTACTTTACATTCAAAGCAGTGGTTTACTTCTCATTTTTTGTTCTCATTCAGCAGTTAATGCTTCACATCCTGAATCAACCATTTTTTTCTCATAGAACTTTTGAAGAATCCTAGAAGAACATGTGCTTTGTCTTTCAATCAAGCAAAGATGAACAAAGACAAGGGGATTATTCTTTGGAGACCTTAAAAAAATAACAAAAAAAATAACCTCAGGAATGAGCATTTGTACCATGGGAAATGTCAAGATCTAAGGATTTTTAAAAATTATTTTTCTTGTAAACATGCATTCAAGATTGGGTTTTTCTGTTTGTTTTTGTTTTGGTTTTTTGTTTGTTTAATGCATTCAAGATTGGTCTGGGTTTTTGTTTATTTGTTTGTTTTTTATTTGTTTGTTTGTTTTGGTTTTGGTTTGTTTTTTTGTTTTTTAAGTTGTAGTAGGCTGAAAAACTATATCTGGAACCAAAAACAGGTAACTTATATCAAATGACATAAAACATTCCCTACTGACACCTATGGCAACCAGTACATAGTAAAAAAAAAAGTCTGGATTAGTTATCAATTCAAAGTGAAAATTGGATATTTTCTTTTATTAGTTACTTGGCCATCTTTACAGGTCCACAGCAGATTATCTCTGGACAACTCAAATTCCAAAACTAAACAAAGAAAGCAAAAATATTTAATTATGCTACATAAAAACCTCTGCATTTTCATTACATATAGTGAGAGATTAATGTTAAGTGCTTCCAGAGATGATGAGATAAAGATGAGGACACTTTTATGGATTTTTTTAAAAACTTATTTACTTTTTTTGATTTATAGATGATCATAGTTAAGGGTTAAAATGTTACATATTCTCCTACAAACTACTAAAATCAGACACTATTCAGCAGTTTAAATAACATATGAAAAAAGCTGCATCTATTTAACAGCTGCAGAAGTCATAGGACAGAGGCAGTACAATAAAAAAAAAAGACAAGAGTTAAAAATCCTACTGCAAGATTATTAACTGCAATAAAAGAGAAGACATTAAAACCAGCAGAAGTTAGGTGCCAGAACATAATAGAACCCATAAGGACAGGCAAAGAATGATGCTAAGTTAGGGAGAAAGAGTTTGTTTTCAGAGCACTTCCTGACAGACACCACAACAAAGCAACACGAACGGTGACTGTGTGGTCCCCTTCTCGTAAATAAATCGGGCGTCAAAGGTTGATCTGCAGTTAATAAGAGGCCTAAGCCTTCTCCAAGGATTTGTAGTATTCTGTTAGCACAGTCCAAGCCTTAGGAGCCATGAAGCCTTCCGGTGGGTTTTGTCCTTCTCGAGCCAGCTTGCGCATGCGGGTCCCCGATATAAATTCAAAGTCTTCATGGCTGAGAGAGTGGGAGTGGGGGCAAGTGGGGAGGGGGAGAGAGAGAGAGAGAGAGAGAAGCAAGGATAAGGGAAAAAAAAACATATTTTAAAAGCATCAGAAGCTGATCATCTTACTTCTGCTTTCTTGATACTTCATAAATTTCTCCTTGTGAGAGTAATGCTGTACAGCAACTACCATTTCCAGGCACTTGCTCAGCAATGCCATAAATCTCTGGAATATACACCCTCTACAACAGTCACCTTGGGTAACTCCTGCGACTTAGCATCACGGTCCACCTGATCTCCAGTGGAGTGAAGTGAGTCTGTGCTTCCAACTGATCTGGCTCACTCTCTAAGGAAACAGGGAATTGCTGTTGAGAGAAAACCATCTCCTCCACCTCCTGTCTCATCCCTCTGAAAAGCAGCAGTGACCACCCTGTTTAGCACCTTGCTCTTCATGACAGCAGACCTGCCCTACGTGCTTGTTGAAGGTGCCAGTGCTGGTTGAAGAAGGACATTTCAATGCCACTAGAGAATGTGAAAAAACACAACATTGCAAGAAAACTTAGTGAAGGACAGTTTCCAGAACCAAGAAAGTAAAAGCCTCAGAGTCTAGAGGCAAGCTCCACAGCTGAGCCACTGCAAGCCAGTGAAGGTACATTTACTATATGCATAACAGTAATATGGTACAGAGAGTTGAAAAATAATGAAAAAAAAAAATCAGGGGAATAATAAAAATACCTTCCCCTAAAGAAGTTTTTCCATTAAAAGCAGAATTCAGTTGGACAAATGCACAAATGAACCCAGATCAGGATCGTTTATCGTTGTTAACATGACAATCTAAAACATAGAATTGTTAAGGTTGGAAAAGAAGGTCTGAACACCTCCAGGGATGGTGACTCCACCATCTCCCTGAGCAGCCTATTCCAATGCCTCACCACTCTTTCAGAAAAGAAATTCTTCCTAATATCCAGTCTAAACCTCCCATGGCACAACCTAGACCCATTTCCTCTTGTCCTATTGTTTGCTACTTGGGAGGAAAGACTAGCACACACCTCCCTACAACCTCCTTTCAAGCAGTTGTGCAGTGCAATAAGCTCTCCCTTGAGTCTCCTCTTTTCCAGACTAAACAACCTCAATTCCCTCAGCTGCTCCTGATAAGACATGTTCCTCAGACCCTTCACCAGATTTGTTGCCCTCCTCTGGACCCACAAGTGAATAAATGAACATTAACTTCTCAGGTATGTGGTCATAAGTAGCAAAAGCTTCACACATTAAACTCTTACTCCTTACAGGACTGAAACAGTAAAGGCAAGACAAGAGTGATGAAGTTCTACCAAATGCTCCAAAGGAAAAATTATTCTTGTGTTAAAGATGCAATTTTACTTATGCCATTTGCTCAATTTGCAACTTGTATGCATTACTCATTCTTTACTTGTCCGTTTGAAATAACAGCCAAGTATTGATCTCAGATGCACATGCCTTAGACAGAAATGGGAGCCAAGCGTGCGCATCAGAGGGCAGAACTTGGCTCTGTGTGCTGGGCTGTGCTCAGTAGGGTATGGAAGTTAGCAAGATGCAGAAAGCATTCCATAGTTCCCTTTCACAAAACCACGAACCCCAGAACTTTTTGATTTGGATTGTATACATTTACACAGCAGCACTGCCATACATGCTCTATTGTTACTGCTCTCAATTCAGGACCGTGGGTTCCTGAAGTATCACAACAAGGCAAAAATACTCTACTGTGCTTCAATTCTGCAAAATGTAAGTTACATAAAAATGAAAACTTTAAGTTGATATAAGCTCATGGAAGACAAAGTTACATCACTGCTATTTATAACACCTGGACATTTTGTTCCTTGGTAGAGATGTCTACTGCTCACTATCACTGACTGAAGGTAACTTGTGTTCTCTGCAAAGAACTATTTCTATAAAATATATGTGGGGAATTGACAAGCCTGGTTAATTCTAGCAAAAAAATTCTAAGTCTACAAATGACCAGGAGAAGAGTAAAGCAAGTGATATAAAGTTTCTCTATGTGTGGTTCTCTCCATGGTGTGGTAGCAATACCAAAGTTCAAGCATTAAAAAAAAAAAAAAAATAAAATAAAATTATCCTCTCCTTGCCTATTAAGCTTTCAGAAAAATACTCAACCTCCCCCATTGCCTTACAATCAAAGTAAAGGTACTAAGACAATAAATGTTGACATGCCAGGTAAGTTGGCTTCAATAAGACACCCAATTCCTCTCGTTTATCTCTAGACCTATAAAAAGTAGCTCTAGGAACTGGAGATACCAAGTGAGAGTGAACACAAAAAGAAGCTAAGGAGATCCACAGAAACTACAGGAAATGAAAGAAAAACATGAGCAAGGATCACTGAAGGTATGTACTATATTCATAACATTTCTAGAAATGTTTCAAAAAATACTATGATAAAGTACTAAAGCCCTCTCATCATGCCAAACTTCACTTTTGAATGTTTTTTGGCTTTTTTTTTCCCCTCCCAAAAAAAAAAATTGCCTTAATATGTAACCACTAAAGTTGACTCTGACGGAGCTCTGGCAATACATACTGTATGTTGAAACAACACAGGAATTTTTGCCATTCCATACCAAAGACAGAGTATTTGAATAACCACTCAATATTCATTATCTTTACTAATTGTAAAAATCAGATCTCTTCAATATCAGTAGTTTCCACTAAGCAGAAATGCCTTATCAGTACTGGTACTGGGGTGTGATGTGAATCACAAGCTTTTTGAAATAAAACATATCAGTATAAGTAATTTGCTCTTGTAGGAAAAGAAGCCAGAAAGAAGAGCCAAGTAATTTTGTTTATAGTGATTTTTGAGCATATTAGGAGTTACTCCACATAAAATGGATTTGAGCAGAACATGGGGGGAATCATTAAAGCTGCTAAGAAATATAAATGCCAAAGTTGTACAGATTCCATTCTCAAGTGAGATTTGGAATGACTGTCAATGAAACTTAACCCAAACCTTTTCTGAGCATGGGATTTAAGTGCCTTTCAATTTTTTATCCAGTGGCTGCTGGAATTAGCTTTCTTTGAGCCACACTGTATGTTAGTAAAGGCTTGTAACATTGATTTAACCTTTTACCACTGATTGAGTTTGACCAGTATGGATGTAATATTTGTGCCAATACAATTAAAAAACAAACATTCTCCAAAAGAAGGAGCAAAAAAAGGTAGAAATAAATCCACAAAAAAAACTTGTCAACAGAAAATCAGTCTTGGAAAGTATTACATTGGTATTTGGCCCATGGCATAGCATCTTAGAACCTTATCACACTCACAGTGTGGAAAAAGCTTTACATACACCCACTGAAATATCCATAGTTATGGAGGACAGGGCTAGGCAGACAGAAAACATTTAACTTCACTGTGTTCTCATACCTCTAATAAAAGTAGAGAAGAAATCCTTTCTTACACTTCAGACTGTGTCCTCCTTCCCCACACAGAGCTGTATGTACATACAGAGACCCACAGGTGCACAAGACATTTCTATTTGGAAAATCATTACTGATTTATTCAAAATAACAGAAATAAATTTGTGCCATTAATTAATCTCCAAACTAGTCACAGTAATTGAGCATCCACCTCAAAGGACTCTACAACCCATACAAAGAAGATTAAGAATTCACACACCAGTTCTTTCCTTTATTTTCATCTACAAACACTAATGTTTTAATCTGTTAAATGGCTCTCCCTTTTTTGAGCATTCAGTGGTTATTTTTCATTATAATACCACAAGTCACCCCAGCAACAACGGTAGGTCTTTATGCTTCGCTAGGAACTCAAACACTCTAAACCAAGTGTACCAGGCTGATTTCAAAGATGTTACACCTTTATGAAAAAAAGGTTATCACCAGTTTGAAAGTGGGAAATGACTGTATCAAGACAACTGCAGTCCTACAGGAAACCTCTGCCGTATCTCTGAGGTATCAGTACAGTGCCTTAATACAGTGGCTGAGGAGAATAATTTTTCCCCTTCAACAATTATTCTGTACAGGTTTAATCCAAGTATGAAATAATATTAAGTTACTGATTTTTCAGTTGGAACACTAAAGATCAGTCATAATCTTGAGAACCTCAGCTTCCTACTTTGTCCCTTACAGTGTCAAATCTTTGTTATGTCAGTCTATGTCATACCTTTGGAATGCTCCATGACACCGAATGAACCACCTACTATCAACTAGTTTCAAAATCTTACTGGCCATGAACAAACTCTGCAAAAGCAGAACATCATGGTGTGATTAATACCAACATATACCAAGCAAATCCTTTACCTCATGTGAATGCAATTCCTTTCTGGCTGGCAGGAAGGTTTAAGCCTTCTGAGCTGCTACAGTGTTTTGACGTATCCTGAATTACGTACTAATGTTAGTTGAAAAACAATATTTTACATAGCTAAGTTAAGGAGGACAGTCAAGCGTGTTTATCTTTTTACCAGCACTTTAAAAACTCAGGTATCACACCAAGCAAATTTAGGAACAGTATGTAGCATTGGGACAGCTGTCCCGTAAGTATAACTTGATAGTATTAAAGCAGTTGTCACAGTCATAGTAAGGGTCCTGGGAATAAACTATATGAACTTAAAGTCTCTCCTCTTCATAGACACTCACACTTCATTCACATTTTACAGAAAGCATGAACAGTCTGATCCAGTAATCTCACTTATGGGTTTCTCTCAGCCAAAATGATCTCATCAGTTTTCTTTCAGGACAATTAAAAAAAAAAAAAAAAAAAAGCCAAATTCAAATTTTCCAGACACTGCTGTGGCTTTTTAAATTGCCAGACTAATTTCCTTTCTTAATTGAGTCTTTCCTCAGCAGCAGTCTGTGGCTGCATTTTATAGGATGTATCTTCTGTAAAGAATTGGGAATCTCTGCTCACCCAAACAACTACTATTATTAAGCCACCAATCCCAAACTACACTTGTTTGTGGTAACTGTTTGAGAAGCCTGTTTGGCTAAACACACACACACTCACCATTTTTCTGGCAGGTTTTCAGCACTGGGTAGGGATTTTTTTAGGAGGTGGTGCTGGTGTTTTTGCTGGCTGCTGGGTTCTTTGGTTGGTTTTTGTTACGCTTCAGTCTAATAGTGATTCACAGATCAGACATTTGTTTGGAATTTCTCCATTTGACTAAAATTCTACCAATAAACTTTTCCAAAATGTGTTTCGACGTATTCAATTATTGATTCAAAATTATATTAAATTTTAGTATTAAAAGAGTATTAATTAATTAATAAATAAGAAAATATTAAAAGAGTAAAAATTATGATAAGCAAAGGACCACAACAATGGTCACACTAGTTTCTATATGTATTATTTTTTCAAATTCTGTGCAAGTATAAATGGTTCAAGCTTCCCATAGAAGCTTAGATTAGGTTTACTATCTGATTTCAGCAACAATAAAAAGGGATTTCTTTTCCCCCTCATTTTAACCACAAGGGAAAAAAAAAACCAACTTTATGTTTGTTCTACCTATGCTCCCATACATCACTTCAAATGCATTCCTCAAATCCTTTTCCTAAATCTTCGTTTTAGACATAACTCTCTCAAAAATATTTTTTAAGACTGATTCTGAGTTGCCAAACCTAGTTCTAAGTTGTTCAAAACCAAATTAAAAATTCTAGTGACTTCATGAGGTAAAATACAAATATAATTTCAAGTCATCAGTTGTTCACAGGTCTTAATATTTTAAAGGGTGACTTTACTAAAACAATTTATACAAGTTAAAATTTGTGCACCATTCTGCAGCTACAATTGCTGTGCAGCTGGTATAAAAACTTTTACATCAGTCTTTTCTTACATCCTTTCCTCACACGCAATGCTCCATCATTATCCCCAAATACAACCAGGATTTCTCTGCCCGTCCTTATAAACAGAGGCACACGTAGATAGACCTGCTGCCAAGTGACTTCAGTTCCCCCACAGCTCCACAGCAGCTTGTCATTGTTAACCAGCTGACACTCAAAGCTAAGAGTCATTTTCTCCAGACTGTTTGCAAGCAGAGGTACCAGGGTCAACTGAAACTCCAAGGGCACCATGTGTCCTGGAGGATATTAATGCACCTTTGGAATATCAGCTCTACAAAACTGCACTTGCGTGGACACCTTTGGAAGCTGCAGACCTTGAGGATCATAGGCAGCACACCTGGAAAGGGCCTTTGTTACTAATTTGGAAGCAGGGACAGTGGTAGACTTTTTGATGCTTCCCAGACTTGCCACCTTGCCAGGTCACGAGCAGCAAGGTACCACATAGTTGCCCAGTATCTGTTGTTATTTAGCTGACCAGTACCAACCCAGTATGTGAGAACCTGCCCCAACAGGCATACACGTAATGCTACCAGCGAGTGTTACATCCTGCTCAGAGAAGCTGAGCATCAATGTTTAGAGATGTCACAAGTCAAGTAACTCTCTGCCACTGCTAATGCTGCAGCCCCAACATGTCAGACATCCTTCCCAAAGCTGTATCAAGCTTTTGGCAACCTCTAAGCACTAGCCAAAAAGCTTCATCCCCCATCATCCTCATGCCTTAGGATTGTCTTCAGAAGCAGAAAGATAATTCACTAACATCAGTACGGAACCCAACTGCAATAACCTCTGCACGTCTGTGCAGCCGAGTCGGGTGTGGGTCCAAAGCTGCTAAATTAAGAGATAGCAGCTAGTATCCATCATGGCTTCACAAGTAGCTACAAGACAGGAGTCTAAGAGACCTGAAAGAATAGATGACCACTAGGAGAGAGAATAACTGCTTCCAGCAGCAAAGACACACAGCCCAGCTATAGCTCAGTCCAGCAGAAACCCACTTCCCATATCCTTCCATGCATCCATTAGTGATGGAAATTCTTGACTTGCCTAGTTGGTTGCTAGGTGTTCAAGCCTCAAAGAACTGAGAAAGATGCACTAGAAATCAAGTCCCCTGTTTCCAAAACAAGTCAGAGAAATGCTTCTATGTACACAACCCTCTTCCCCACTGGTTTTTCACCAGGTAAGTGGTAAGCTCAGAAAAGATTTCCACAAACATCACTATTTCACACCCATGGGTCTCCCACCAGTACGGAGCCTCCCATATTTCCAGATAACTCTCTCTTCCCTGCCATCCTCCTTACCAAGTCAAACACCACATGGCCCAGGAGCCAGCCACATTTTCAGCATTACACAGACTATCTTGAAACGCAGCCAGCTGCACCCACCCAAGCTCTGACTCTGTCTGGAGCCTACCACAGCGTTCGTTGTCTGTGGCAAGCAGGAGCAAGAACGGCTCTCTCTTCAGGGAGCCTGTGTGTGTCCGCATTGCCACCTAGAGGATTGCTGCCACACGCCAGCCACCCTACAGTTTACAGACGGTGTCATGGGGAAGGACAGGACAAACGGCCTTAGCATTCAGCAGCAGCAGGGCAAAACTGCACACTAATAGCTGCACAGTCTTTTTTCCGAGACAGTGACAAAAACTGGGATTTTTTTGTCAGGGGATAAAAAAGCCTCAAACCAAAGGGTGCCCACAGACTTGATGAAAGGATAACAGGGTGCACGCAATGAAGTTACCATAATAAGGCCTGTTACCATAGAGATTTATCATTTGCTCTGGCTAATGACAGAGGTACAACTTTACTCCCCTTGCTCTAAATCAAGTCTGTTCTGGTAAGAGTACATCAACAATCACAGAATCAATATTCTTTTATAAGGATTTTCTGTTCCATCCAACGGGAATTCTGGCTTCTCACATCACTACTCCCCTTCTATTCCAAATTATTAAGAAGTGACACACCAGTACAACTATTTCACTTTAAACTCTGTATGTATTTATCTTCTAAAACTCACTGAATTGCTTGGACAACAAACAGGACAATACCCACAGTAGCTACTACAACAGCCTTTTGAACCTGGTTACAATGTATACAAGTGTACATAAAACTAACTGTACTCGCATCACAATCTAATTGCTGTGTACAGCAACGAGGCCCTCTAGACACATCTCAAACAGTAAAAGGCACAAACGTGGTGAAGTGTTCAACAGCTAGTTAAGAGGCAAACAGTTTAGGAAACAACTTTTATGTCATATGTGCTAGGAGCATCCTTTCCTCTGATTTTATTCCTCCTAATACCATAGTATCAGGCAATAGGTCTGATCTGATGCTACTTGGAAAAAAAAAAAAACAAAACAAAACAAAACAACACACAAAACAAAACAAATCCCTGCTGCACTGCCATCCAAATAGAAGCTTCACAGCACTAAGGAGAACCTTACATTGGAATGCTGTCTGTATGGGAGGGAGGACAAAAGAAGAACATCAGCAAACTACAACCGCTACATAAGCCTCCCTGATTAGCTTCAATTTTAAAACATCTGCAATGTAGTAAATAATCAAATTTCTAAACACATATGGACACTGTACAGTAATACACAGTGAAACTATTATAATTCTTGACAGGTTTCAACAGATTTGCTTTTATCATGCTGCTTACGATTTCCACACAACAGAAGAATATACCTTAAAGTTACATTTAGTTATGCAAAAGACAACACCACTCTGCAGTTTTTAAAAATAAAAGCAGACAAATTTGGGTGCTAGGAATTTGCTGCTGAAATATAAAGCAGCTACATAACTTAAGATCAAGGTTAAGCCAGAACACTATCTACTAACAAACACAACTCATGGGAAGAAAGGTACAAGCCACTGAATAAAACTTCTTGGTTGATTGTCACAAGCCACAGTGACATCCTTGGAGACTTTTATACTCAGTGTAACTGCAGCATAAGCAGTGGAAGAACAAGAGATAACAGATGGGTTTGTTTTTACAGATCAATCCATCTCATGGGTGATTTCATGCTTTCAGAGATGAACTGTGCTGCACAGACATACTTCTTCAGTTAGAAGCAATAGCATAATAGACTATTAAAAGTACAGATTTTATGGTTGTTTTTTTTTTTTAGAAGAACGTGTTGCTTGGCAGTTTGCATTTCAGTACTAACCTCAGCAACAGTTTGATGTAAAACAAAAGTATGGTTTAATAATCTGAATAAAGAGGTTTCAACCAAAATTAAAGTCATCTTCCCACTCATTGGTACAGCAACATATACAGTGACTTTTGGACTCTGCTATGGCACATGAGCAAAAAATAATATTGCAACATGCAGAAGGTGAAATCACCTGTCCTGTAACTGGATCAAAAAAAAACAACAGCTGAAAACCCTATAACATATAACAGACTTAGGGCATCATTTTGCATTACTGTTAAACAGAGCAAAGAGCTATTTGTCACCCTGTCTCACCCACTACATTCTCCCTGTTGCATTCTTATTGTTTCTCTTCCATCATATCTGATGTGTAACTGACACCTAAGAAACATATTCAGACAAGTGAACCAGCAGAAAGCTAGCCTTACCACTATGATAAACAGTAATATTCTTTTGTGGATTTAGCAATCTGTGCTAACATATTCCAGAATTAGAGAAACTACTGGGAGTAAAAGAAAAAGCTTCCAGCAGCAGCAGCTAAAGTTGGATCAGGTTAGCTGTACTGTGAAACTGGAGTTCAGTGATGCTGAAGTCCAGTTTCACAGTGATGCTGAAACCACATCTAAACACTACCATCTTTGAGCAATATGAATTTAATTTTTTTTCCATGTGGGCAGGAGGTAAAAGGCAGCTATTGCTCAAAAAGTCTTAAAATGAAAATACAACTTACTGATCAGAGTCATAATAATCCATGCACTTCTTTTTCTTATTGTAAGCTGCAACTCTGAAGGGCACAATTTCCAGTGCTCGGAGGCCTGGAGCCATTGTCAACACTTTGGCACCATGGGTTGGTTCGTAGAGATCCTTCCCAGTGTCAGGATGCGGCATCCCCGCGGGATCTCGCCCGACAATGTAGAAGTTAGCTCCTGCAACCATCCGTGATCTACAGTGCCACTGAACCTAGAACAGAGACAGGGAGAAACAGTCAACAGAAGGAAATGGTCAAAATATGACCCTTAAAATGTGTGTGCACTGTATAATTAGCACTTTTTCTCTAATCAGACATGGTTTTTACTATGGAGCCAGAAGCAAAGAATCAATTATGTGAATCACCACCAAACTTACAGTTAAGTCATACTAATCCCATTTAATTTGCGCATTAGGATATTCTAAGTTACTTCAGCACACTGTTTGGAATGGTATTATCAGCACAAGAAAAATGGAACTCATCCATTTCTTAGCTCAGTTCTTCCTGCTGTCATTACCCTCCGTTCCTTTCCTTTCATATAAAAAGATAAATGCAGAACCAACTACTTTGGGAACCTTACTGGGAGTTAAGTTATATATTGCTCTATTTTAATAAAAGTAATTTCTCTAAAAAGAGACCCTGACCCATAGATAGCTGCCAAACATCTCACTGGAAGAAAGAGAAGATAATGCTAATTAAACACTGTGTTCACAACTGATTTAAGCAATCTATCTACACAGTAAAAAAAAAAAAAATAAATTACCCATGCTCAGCATTTTCTCTTGGTGCACATGGCAAGGGTGTTTTCCAAGGTAGGACTTTAACATTTAGTTTGCATGAATATTCAAGACCCAAAATACAAATAAATTAGGTAGATGCTGCACATGAACGCTTATAATAGGATTTCAGAGCACTAAGACTGTCTATTTTTACTACAGGCTTCCAAGATGAAAAATGATAAAGAAACACTAGCTTTGGTAAATATTTAATCACTTCCCCCTGATCATTTTGAAATAATTTGAGTCTAACACATTTATATGAACTGAGGAGGAACCAATATCAAACCCAGAAACTTCAGCTTTACTGAATTTTCACTTGGATGGATCAGCTCCCTTCACCTAATATTTGAAGTTTTGTAAATATTGACAACCAGCTTTCCCACATTATTTCACTGCACATTTTGAAATAAGAGTTTTCATAACACCTTCATATTTACTTTTTTCCTTATAGCTCAGTTACTACTGAAGGGGAAAAAAAAGGCTACTTCAAAGAAAATTCTGCACACAAACTATTCAATCATCTGCACCCTACAAATAAAGAAATGCTTTCAAATTATTTAGACATGCATCTCTTACTACACACAGTGAGAAGATTTCCCCCCCAAAAAAAAACCCTGCAGCGTTTACTAGATCTGAACTGTCAGATTTGTTACACTTATGGCAGTTTAGACTTACATTTTAAGACTGTTGGTGAATTTTCATAATTCTTATATGTAACATTTTCAATAGAAAATTCAACAGTACAGTAGAGGAAAAATAAAGTGACTCTTACACTACTTTAGAAAACAAAGATACACCACTTCAAGAAATGTCAATATGTTCTCATACTTGGAAATATGCCCCCAAAAGAACTGTCATACTGTCTATGTAGCTTAGTATCTGCCAAAGGATACTCAGAGAAGAGTTTTAAAAAAACCCAGCAAGTATGTAGCAGTAGTTTCTTTTACATGCAGCCTTATTGTCTCACAAAACTAAAGGGCATATCCAGTAACTACATAGTGTAAAATAGCTTCACAAGTTGAACAGTGATAAATATTTGTCAAGCACTAAAGGGAAAAAAAGAAGGGGAGGGAGGAGGGAAAACACCCACAAATCATAGGACAAAAGTTGCTGCCACTACCTCGTAGTAAAATGGACAATATGATGCATAAATTCTCTTTCCATCACAAAAAAAAAAAAAATAATATTGCATCTTTCTACAGCAACTCTTTACATAAAATCAAAGTGTTTCATGTTTTAGTCACTGTGCGATTTTATGTAAAGTGTTTCATGTTTTAGTCACTGTGCATGCTGTTCTGTATTAATAAGCTTTAGGCAAGAAACTCAAAAGTGATCTCTCAAAGTAGTAGCTGTTAGTTTTACATGAGTTCTACAACCGATCATGACAGAAACCATTCAAGGAGGAGGATTTTCAGTCAGTATGGACAGATGTCTGTAGTCAGATAACAAAATCAGGAACCAGCCATGAGTTACGAGGTACCACTGGTATCAGTTTTCATCTTGACCACAGCCTGACATTATACATGAAGGATTACGCTGCTGTTGAAGCATATAGGGTGTTATGGAAGCAAGTGGATGCTAATAGCTATGCTCATAATTTTAATATTTATGTTAGAAGCACAGGGTGAGCCATACACATGACATTCCAGCACACCACAACAGCTAGCAGCACGTTTTCTGAAAACATTCTAGCATAGTTAAGAAATTTAAATTTCATGTTGTCATCTGGGTAACAGCAAGTAAGAACTCCATTTTGAATAAGAGAAGATATTTGACTAAGACAGCTTAGAACAATATAAACCACATGTTTGGGACAAAACTAGCAGCTCTTGTCCCTTTTCTATATATCTATGCTACTTCAGAACGTATTTACTTTCCTAAGCAGACGAATTAATTGCATTTTGAAGCAAAATTTTCCGCTATAAGATGGTTTCTTTTCTACCAAGGTAATTATCAGGAATGTTAAAAACACTAAACTGATGCTTATGACACATGTCCATTAAAATGTGCACAGACTGGAAGGCCAAATTCCATCCTGTAGATAAGCCTACTAGCAGCTGCTTCTTGTGCCGTAAAGGACTTGTCTTGCAGAAACAGATCTGGTATCAACATCTTCTACATGATGTATGGGAAGTGATTAAAGGAAGAGTGTCCAAACAGAACCCAGCCCGTGGCTG